CAACATACATGGGGATATTATTGATAAATGCAACCCATTCAGCGGTCAGTGTTAATATACAAAGTGAATGTGCTATATCATCCCTACAAGCATACAATTTAATGCCTCAAATGATACGACATATTCGTGAGCTAGGTATAAAGGACATTTAGCAGATGAAGCAACTGCCTTACACCACTTCTACCATCAACATCAGAATATAAGCAACCATATTCAACCTTGTAAGCTATAAGAAACAATGGTTATCGAAGATGTATGCGAAAAGTTCAAGTGACCTTCTTGCAAGTAGATATCAAATTAGAGAGACAACAAGAATATTACAACACTCCAACAATCAACATCAAGATACAAGTAAACAAATTGATATGCATACAATCAAGAGTGAAGATCTGCAATACATACAAGCTCTCTACAAAGACAGATGTACGTTCCACATGCCACTTATGGGTAGATGCAAAAAGACTTCAGTAAATGCAGTATCCTGTAGTCAGTTTCAACCTGTAAATGAATACATCTACCTATCTAGATGCATCAATAGCGGATGTACTAAAAAGGCCACTGACCACAATAAAATGCATGAATAATACGACAAGTGAAAGCTCCAACAATCCAAAGCAGGAGATTAATTAGTGCACTACAATCTACCTGCATAAATTAAATAAGTAGTGCACGACAGTCTACCTGTACAAAGCAGCGAACAACTCAATTCAGAAGCTGCTACGCCCCGCCACCAGATCCGCAACATTCATGCAAGTGGACATAAGGCATTTACAAATATTCCAAGAATGGCCCTGCACATGCACCGTAACTTATATACACATAGGTGCACTAAAAAGGGGTACACGATTAAGAACCCGCATGGGCCCCGGCAAGCGTGTTATTGATACACACGTGACATCTAGGGATGCTGCGCGGGTCAATAAATTTAAACCCGATCCTCCTATGCAAGTAGATAGGAGTCGATAAGGTTCAATAAATAATAATAAAATGCCCCCAAACACCCGCATGGGCCCCGACGAGTGTGTTATCAGTACACACGTGACGTCTAGGGATGCTATGCTGGTCGATAAGTGAATTCAAGTTCGAACCCGATCTTCCTATGCGGATCAATAGGAGTCGACAGGGTTCGAATCTTCAAATAAATATACGGTTGTGGCGACCAGTGTATTTGTTTTAATACATTCATATTAGGCATTCAAGGCCTATGATCAAGAGAATTCACTAATAAAGGAATAAAATCTATGAAAACCCAATCCCCTATCGGCAAGGTGATAGGGTCGACAAGGTTTGGTCAATGAATGACCCCACATCCCGATGATGACCGTGTTGAATGCAAATCTCAACCGGAGGGGTTCACAAACATTTTTAAATGCCACTTAAATGCCCAAAAATCCAAAATTCCAAAATAATCCCAAATTCCAAAATATTTAAAATGGAAATCCAATTATTTAGTACTTAGAGAAAAATCCATCCACCTTTCGCAACAGTTTGTCGGGGTGGACAAATCAAAATTTACTTCAGCTCATATAGAGTTAATGCCTAGTCGAAAATATAAGTAGGATCCAATCTCAAATAATCTCCTGCCAGTAAGGACATGGTACGTGTCCTCTAATCGACGGTTTTGCTACTAAATGGCAGCGCAGGATAAACGGTTATGACCCGGGGCCCTCTGAACCGAGTGGTTTTGCCGCCAAATGGCACCACGAAATACCAGTTATGGCCAGAGCCAATACGTTCCTTAGTGGAATCAAATCCTCGAGATATGAATCATTATGATATGATTTATATGGCACAAATCCCTCTGTTAGCTAAAGTAGATTCAAATTTATCTTCTTAGACAACCATTCACCCCAGGTCTACAAGGTCCCCTTGGACGAAGTAACCCATTGTTGCTGACAAGGATCCTTCTGTCAGGTTGGGTCGACTACCTCCTCTGACTAAGTAGACCAGGGATCACGATGGCCCAGGATGACGGAACTATGGGATCTTGATCGGGTACATCATCCATTCCCTCACCATCCGCTTTAAGTGTAAGATGGTGAAATTTTCAATTTTAAATATCAAATCTTCCAACTTTCCAAATTCCCAATATCTATGCCCATGCTGCTACTATATGCCTGATACTACGTATCTATGGATACAACGTATCTAATTGACGACTAGCCTTAATCGAAAGTTCTCTATCGTGATCGGGAGGGGTAATTAACTATAGGAGCTTGCGCCTATAGGAAACCAGAACTCAGATCATAAAGTCCTCACAAAATGAGGGCGAAATTCTGGGTAGTATCTTATCTACAAACCCATCTGCCTTCCAAAATTTACCATGGAACTTATTTCATTAACACTCCCTCGCCGAAGAAAAGCAATCAGTGCGGGCGGAGGCCGGGACCGAATTTTCGGAGCCCACATTTTTGTACTACGAATCATTCAGCCGTGGAGGCTGAGTGTATGGCTGAGTTATAGTTGTCCTCAACAAATTTAATTTTAATCATACCAAGACGTTTATGGAATAGAGGACTGCTAATTATTTTGAAACATGCTTAAATTTTTTTTGATATATTTTATGTTTGACAATTCCTTTTATACATCAATACTAATTTTTCTATGCAATTTTAAAATGATTTGGGGCAAAGTTTGAATAGGATTAGATTTAAAATGGGATTCAATTATATCACTTATTCTTTTTTTGGCACTCATGCTATCTTGATTCTTAAAATTTTTCTGAGTGGTTGAACAGAGATGTTAGCTTGCTATATTAGACTGAAAGGAGAGGAGGAAACCAACTCTTGGATTATCTCAAATGAATAGAAAATGTGCGTTGCATGCTCGATCCAGGTTTCTTGGAAAATTTTTGTTGACCTTTCACTAGAAAAAGAAAGAGAACTAAGAGTTGGCGCCTACATAACAGGTTGCTTGCTTACCAAGCCATCCTAGCCCAGTTCGATTATGATTATTTACTTTGATTATTTTGAATAAAGCTACTCACTATCAAAATGAAAGACGATGTAGAATCTATCCAAGAAGATATAGAGTCCCACTTATGAGGAAAGGCCACAAAGAGATAGAGTCCCAAGTAAGATTGAAAAGGCATAATGATAGTAGAGTCAGGATATGCCCGCCCTCTAGATATGAGGGTCTCCCTTCATCCGGTTCTCTGCAAGGGAATCTCCACTCACTACTTCCCCTAATATCCTCCCTTTTCCACATCATGATGGTTTACAGAAGATCTTAGGTGCTCGCTCGGAAAGGCTGTGTTTATCATACCTTTTGACTTCACTCTACTCTAGTAGTCACTAGATATAGTAGTCCGTATAGCTGCTCTTCTTAAAATCATTACTTTGAATTCTCCCGTGCTCTAACAATTTAGCTCTCTAGACAACTACCATGTAGTTAGGCAGGGAAAGAAAAGACGTATTTACAGTAATACAACAACAACAACAAGCCTTTATCCCACTACATGGGGTCGGCATATTTACAGTAATAACAAAAAGAATTGGGATCCATATAAATAGAAAGACAAAAATGACTCTTATTTTTCCTTAACAGTCGCACATTTCTTTCCATAGATGTATCTTGTATGAGACAGTATAGTACTCTATGAGATGAATGGAAAAGGGATGGATGGTAGAGGGCTACCTACGCCCAAAAGCATTATTCACTTGCCCCCTTTATATAGGGACCTCATGATATACAATAGCCACGACTCCTGCGTTATAGCCATCCCTATCTCTCTTTTGACTGCCTTGTGGACGGATGAAAGAAAGAAAGTCGCAGAACCGGGCAGTGAAGGCTCTAAAGTAGACAACCAGCCCCCACCACCCTGTAGTTACCATATATCTTTTTTGACTGCCTCGTGTATTGCCGTAGCACGCCCTAATGAAATATGGTAAAACCTCTCTAGGGGATGGAATTCATTCACTTTCATTCTTGCTAGCACTACAAGCAGCTCCAGTCTTCATGCCCCACGGAAGAGGTGCAACCTTTGCTCAGTTCATAGAGTGGGGTTTCCCATTATTCCACAACGGAGGAGCCACCTCCTTTTTATAATATCCGTAAGAGTTGATAGGCGAGATAAATAGAGCTTGAGTTAGGTAGTCACCAGCTAGAAAAATCAAATGTAAATTAAGCTATGTAGTCACTATTTTGAAAAATCAAGTGTGAATTAAGTTATGTAGCCACTATCAAGTCTGAATGAATCTTGAGTTGTTAGTCATCAATCTTGAGAATCAAGACCAAATCTTATTGGAAATAATAGACTTCAGACTTTACATTTTTATCTGCCGTTATAATACATTGTAGATCCCTAAATTCCTAAAACCCTGAAGTAACATACTATGGAATCCGATTAAGGTTCTTTTTGGCTTTGGAAGTTAAGAGAAAAGAAAGAAATGCTGGAAATTTGTCACTTATTCATCAATCTTAAAGCATCCTTGAAGGAAGGAACTCATTTGTTTAATTTCCCTTGGTTAACTGGCAAGATCGACCAAATCCATTTTGATTTGAATTTTGAAATCTTCGTGGCTCTTGCTTCACATTTTCTAAGAGTATTTCATAATCATAATTTTCCAGTTATTAGATATAAGATTTAACATTGATAAAAAGAATAGTCTAGGTTTTGTGTACTGAAGTGTTCAGTTGGTTAGGCCGTTAGGGTAGCCATTCAGAAATATCATGTCATTATTTATCTAAATTTGAAATGACATCATATGATTTAGATGTTCTTCTTTGAATTTGTTGTTGACTCATGGCGAATTCTGGATTAGGATCTTTATTTAAAGTGTTACTTAATACTACATAACTTAAATTGTAAAATTTCAAAATCTATATTTATGGTCGTCTTTACTCTAATGCTGTCTCATAGCACTTTTTAATTTTCAGATTTAAAAATTGTCCTTTTTACTAATTTTCCTTGATGGACTTCAACAAAACTAATTTCTTTTTTTAATCCAATTAGCTTATTTCTCATAGTTGTATAATTGAGTTAACCATACATGTTTTAGGGAAAAGTTCCACTGCTATCTATTGAAGCAATTCATCAACTTCATATATTTATCTTTGCTTTGGCAACAACTCATGTGCTTCTCAGTGCTCTAACTATGGTTTTAGGTGGGGTAAAGGTAACTAAAATCTTCCTTTTTTTTGTAATTTTGATTAACTCATGCATCTATGAGTTTTGTAGGTTATTCCTTTCTTGGTGGATCTAATCTTTGGTTTGTATTTGACTTAGATACGTCAGTGGAAGCATTGGGAAGATTCTATTCATAAAGAAGCTGCAGAAAATGGTATGACTCGAGCAAACTGCATTGTTTAGCATGTTACACAACGGCTAATGAACAGTCTAATTGTGGAATCATGCTGGATTTATCTTTTGTAACTCAAAACAAATTTATGTCTTTCTTAGTTCATTCATGCTGAATCATTATTGATATACATGCAGCTTCAACATCCCCAATGATCACTCATGTTCACGAAACTGAATTTATCAGGGATCACTTTCGTGGCATTGGCAAGGATTCTTTGATATTGGGTTGGCTGGTAAATTACAAATAACTGTCCATAAGATTTTGGCTGAATTTAGTTTTAAAATGCTGCCTTTTTACATGGTAAATTAAAATAATTTTATCTTGCCTTGTAAACAGTAATTCAGCTTCGTACAAATTAATCTTACGTGGACTACTAAGTAAATGACTGAACTAGTTTTTCTTATAAAGTTATTAAGCAGAAACTGTGCATTTTTTTATTAGAAAAAAAATGGGTTAAAGAAAGTTTTTGGAAACCCATTAAGTTTATTGTGCTTACCCAATTTAGTCAACTGTTGTTACTAAAGATTTAAGTTATTGCTTTATTCATATTTTTGCTTCCTATTTTGTGCCTATTGGAGTGCTCTTATTTTAAAGTGATATATGCAATATTCTGCAATGACCATACTGCTTATCATGCTCGTTTCAGCACTCTTTCTTTAAACATATCTTTGGATCTGTGACAAAATCAGACTACAGAACATTGCGGCTGGGTTTCGTCATGGTAAGAAAGTAGATTGTTGTACAGAATAATTTATTTTAGTTTTTCATTTTTTTTTCTTGGGGATAGTGAGTGGTATCTTGGAGACTTTATATTGTGTGCTTGCACTTAGTATTTCTTTTCCTCGTAGGCTCATTGCAAGGGTAATCTTAAGTTTAATTTTCACAAATACATGGTTCGAGCTGTTGAAGCTGATTTCAAGAAAGTGGTTGGTATAAGGTGATTCTGAAAGGCCATCTTTAATTGCTTAAAGTGTTCTTTGTATTTTTTAGTTTATGCCAGCATAACACAAAAATTATACTTTGAACCATTCTAAACATGTGGCTATTTTTTTTATAGATTAATATCATTTTTTTATTTTTATTATTATTATTTTGTTCTCATACTTAATATTTTTCTCTTTCATTGCAGTTGGTATCTTTGGGTTTTTGTGATTGTTTTCTTATTTCTAAATGTTGGAGGTATGATTATGCAAAAACTATTCTATTGCTTCTTATCTCATATGCCATGTTTAGATATTTTTGTAATGAGTTGAAGCTAGAGTTTGTTGTTGACAATTTTATCAACTATACTTCTTTGCATTGGTTAGGAAGAAAGACTTTTGAGTCCATCTATTGTAACTTGGGTGGAAAAAAATTAGATGCAAAAATGTCAACCAAGGTCGAGAATAATATGCTATAAAAATTAAAATAAAAAAGAAACAAACTAATACAAAGAGGCATCAAGATTTGTGTATTGACTTCAGCCAAACCTATGTCTGCTGGAGGTGAGAAATATTTTTTTCCACTAAAAAAATATAGAAGCTATAATCGTAATGTACAATTTGAAGGAACACTAAGAACCTTTCTCAAAACTCAAGTACATACAAAAAAATCAATGATGCACCGACACTTTTCCTTAATTAGGCGTGCAATGTCCAACACATATTCGACACTACACACGTATGACACTCCTCCGATGCGTGTCGGACACGCAAAAAATGTGTCTGATTAAAAAAATATTAAATACAAATTGGACACACATGTCTGAAGCGCGTCTTCAAATTTTTATGAATTATTTTAAATATAATTTCTTGTATTTAAAATTGTTTGCGATGACCCGGTTAGGAGAGTAGAGGTATTAGATTTGACTTATGTTAAGAAAGGTAGGGGTAGACCTAAAAAGACTTGGTTAGAAAATATTAGGAATGACCTTTCTTTATTAGATTTAAACGAGAATTTGACTTTTAATAGGACACAATGGAGAAAAAGGATTCATGTAGCCGACCCCACGTAGTGGGATAAAGGCTTGATGTTGTTGTTGTAATACCAAATCAATCACTCTGACTCAATACCTCATTCATTGAATATTCTCATTTTTATTTATCTTTGATGGGTTGCAACTTTAGTTTCACAATAATGTTCGATGTTATCTTAACATCGGCATCTGCGTCGTTACAACATCGACATTTCAAAATAATCCCCATATCAAAGTCTGACATTGTCTTGACATAGATGCTCGACGCTAAAAATTTCTACACCACACCCACAACTTAACAACTCATCTTTGTCTAGCGTCTTTTTAACATTAAGGATCAACGCCCTCTCAACATTGACGATAGACGCCCTCTTAGCATTAATGTTCTATACTTACTGCATAACATCGATACTCGACTCTCAACAGCATTGTCGTCTCCTCTCTCGATGCTTGATTTATTATTTCTAAATTATTGTCAATATTATACTTATTCAATTTAAAGTAGATTGTCATTGTTAGGTCCCAAGTTCTGGATGAGAAAAGTGGAGGGTTGCGTTAGATAGTCAACAACCATTGTAAATTTATTGAATAATCATGACAGAGATCTTTTATTACATTGTGTTAATGTTAAGGCGTTCCTTGGAAGCAAAGCGTTGTATAGCCTGAATACAATGACAAGTGTGCAATGGCAACTGCACCGGCGCCCGGGTGCAGTGTTGAATAGGTAAGGATTCCCATATTATAGACGGATGTTGGCA